GATTTAAGTTTTATATTTCAAAGATCCTTATGGCTCAGCAGCAGAAACATAAATTATACTGTTAAGAAAGCTAAAGTCTACCTAAAATAAGTATGAAGGTAAATTAAATATCTGACAGTGATCATTACACAGTGTGGCTCTAATTCTTCACTTCACCATCTGTGTCGCAGTTTCACGTCTCCAAAATGAGCGTACGCATGGCTCAGAGCTGGCATGAGGCACCGCACATTTTCACGTCAAGTTTGGATTTTATATATCACAACCTTGGCGTGAAAAGTGGCGTATACAAGTTTCTGGGCTCGTTTTGTGCATACGCAAGTTTTATAAATCCAACCCCAGGAGAGAAACCCAGACATGCCTCTCCTCAATGACACTTTACAGCTGGTTCGGGTGGGGGGATACATAATCCCTTCAGGGAGTCCTGGGTCTGCCACGGGACCTCCTACCAGTGGGACATGTCTGGAACACCTCTAAAGGGAGGAGTCCAATCAAAAGAACCACCTCAACTGACTCTTTTCAATGCGAAGGAGCAGCGGCTCTACTCTGAGCTGCCCTGGATGACAGAGCTCCTCACCCTATCTAAGGCTGAGCCCAGCCACCCTAGGAAGGAAGCTCATTTTGGCCGCTTGTGTCCAGAATCTTGTTCTTTTAGTCAAGATCCACACCTCATGCCCAGTGGTGGAGATGGTACTCAAACACTGTACTTAAGTAAAAATACATATAGACAGACAAAAATGTTTTCTAGTAAAAGTACCACATTACCATTTTTACTTGAGTAAAAGTACAGGGGTTAGAGAACGAAACTGAAACACCTGTCATTTTAGTGTGGGAGGTTTCATGGCTAAATTGGACCAGCCTGGTTGCCAATCTTCATTAACTGCACATTGCACCAGTAAGAGCAGAGTGTGAAAGTTCAATTAGCAGGGTAAGAACACAGTTTTGCTCAAGATATTGCAATGCACACAACTTCATGGGTACATACTAGAGTTCAAAAGAGGACAAATTCTTGGTGCACGTCTTGCTGGAGCATCTGTGACCAAGACAGCAAGTCTTTGTGATGTATTAAGAACCACGGTATCCAGGGTGATGTCAGCATACCACCAAGAAGGACCAACCACATCCAACAGGATTAACTGTGGATGCAAGAGGAAGCTGTCTGAAAGGGATGTTATGGTCTAAAACCAGGTGTTTCAGTTTCAGATAAGTAATTGCTTTTAAAAATATTTAAAGTATTAAAAGTAAAAGTACTTGCTTTATGTATTCCCTATTGGTCTACAATATCATGAAGTGTGCCTACTGTATGTTTTTAATACATCAATGTTGTGCCATTATAGTGAACAATGCTGCAGATGTTTATTGTTTACCCTCTGTGACACTGTGATTTTGTGCATCATCACAGATTGTGACAACAGCTACAGAAGCTGTAAACTCTCCACCGACTTCCTCTATCAAATCTCCACAAGTTGTTTTTTGAACCAGTTAGATTCAGTAAGTCATTTAAACAAGGCCATAGGTGGCATATTTCCTTTGGCTGACTCTTCGTGGTGGAATCGTCTAAGTGTTGCCGCTGATGGTCCAGTAGGTGATGCAGAATCATCTCGCTCTTCTTGAAGGACAGTCTAATGGTATTCTCCTGTTTCAGTGTTTCAGTGGACCAGTTACAGCAATTCCCCTCTCGCCATTGATTACTTTCAAACTAAAAAAATAAAACAAATAAAAAAACCTATTGTGACGCGATGTGAATGTAACTTGTAATGCAACTCATTACAGAAAGTGCAGTAGAGTAGAAAGTACAGATACTTAATGTAAAATGTAGTGGACTAAAAGTCGAAAGTACCCATGATTAAGTATACTTAGGTAAAGTACAAATACATGAAAAATGTACTTAAGTACAGTAACAAAGTACTTGTACTTTACAATATCAATCATCCCACCACTGCTCATGACCACAGGTGGGGGTTGAAACGTATTAAGACCAGTAAATTGAGAGCTTTGCTTTTGGACTCAGCTCTTTCTTCACCATGATCGACCGAAGCAACGCCCTCATTACTGAGGATGAGACCCCCAACCCATCAATCCATGTCCTGCTCCATTCTGCCATCTCTCATGAACAAGACAACCAGATACAAATAAAGTTTTCTAAACCTTAAAAACTCACCATCAGGTCTAAAATTTGTGCTGACATTTTTTATAGATTCTGTAAAGTTGAAACTGCTCTCTAACTAGATGTTTGTGAACAGCTTTTAACCAGAAATGGATGTCTTTTGAGTTGCATTCTGGTGTTGAGATGGATGACTGGATCCGACCTCTGATAAAGCCACAATACTCCTGCAGACACTTCTTTCTCCACCTGTCTTGTAGCTTCAACAGCACTGCTTCTCCTAATTAGGGCTAAATGACTGAATGGACTAATCTATTTTTAAAGCTGTTTGAGCTTATGCTTGAATTGCCTGCTGTCTGTTATAGCTGCCTTTTATTAAAAACAATGAACATGCAGACAGTGGATAAATGCTGTGTGTGTGTTGTCAGGGAGACAGTGGGTCTATCAGACGTGCAGTGAATTTGGATTCTACCAGAGCACAGATTCACCTAACCAGCCATTCAGTGGCTTCCCTCTCGGGTGAGTGCAGTACAAATTGTCTCCCTGCTTAATAAGTTCATAATTGTGTTTTCAGCATCCCCAGCAACTGCTCCCCTGTTCGTCTTCTACTAGCTCCACATCAAACACGATCCGTTTTCCTTCTTCCAGCTTCAACAGATGCTGTGTTGTTCTTTGTTTTTCCTCTAAATGCAGTTATCAGGTGAAGCAGTGTGCAGCTTTCTACAACATAAGTGCCGAGCAGGTGGCAGAGGCCGTGGCCCAGACCAATGAGTACTACGGAGGCTATGACATCCGCTCCAGCAGAATAGTTTTCCCCAATGGGTCCATCGACCCATGGCACGCCTTGGGAATCACCCAGGACATCACAGCTGAGCTCCCTGCTGTTTTCATCAAAGGTAAAAATGAACAAATTCCATTAACAAGAATGAAAATCGCCGTGCCTACACCCTTACTGCTCTTGAGTGCTCATTTGACAATTGACTAAAATCACCACCGTGCTGTTTTTGCTGATTAGTTAGCTAACTTGTTATGGTAACATACGTGCTGTGGCTGTCCCAAAATAGCTCTGACTTCCATTTGCATGAGAATCTGCAAATTTTTTAATGAGTTTTATTGAATTCTAAGTGTTTAAAATCAAGCTGAGCGGCCAAATTCTGAGCAGCAAATGTTTTTCAAATCACAGCCTGTTTCTACGTCCACAGCTTGCAAAACTTTAATCTAGACCGTGCACATTATTTTGATGTCCTCTTTCATCTACATGTACCCATCTCACTCTTATGATGTAATCTATTGAGGTAGACTTAAAAACTGACGTTTGGCAGATTTGGACCAGTTTTTCAAACCCATCCATCCATCCACCCATCTATCCAATCATCCATCCACCCACCCATCCACTCATCCAACCATCCACCCACCCATCCACTCATCCATCCACCCACCACTCCACTCATCCACTCATCCATCCACCCACACACCCATCCAATCATCCACCCACCCACCCATCCACTCATCCATCCACCCACCACTCCACTCATCCACTCATCCATCCACCCACACACCCATCCAATCATCCACCCACCCACCCATCCACTCATCCATCCACCCACTCACCCATCCACTCATCCACCCACCCACCCATCCATCCATCCATCCACCCATCCACCCATCCACCCCACGGTTGGATAAATCTGAATATATTGTTTATATGGGCATAAAATTAATCTGATCATGACAAGCATTCACAAAGCTTTTATTCAGAATAGAAGTACCGACATAGGCCGAGTTATAACTTTTTATAAACCACAGAAGAAGTTTTACTTCCATGATAATAAAAAAATGTTCTGTGTCCTCTGAGTGCCCAGAATAGATGTGCACCAGGTTTTAATAACGGCGGAGACATTCCTTTGTCCCTGATTGAGCTACAGGCGAAGCACCATAGCTGTTGGTCTTCTTTCTTTACCGGATGAGAGAGCGGGAGGAAATAAACACCCTTGAAAATTCTGTGTTGCCCCTCTCTCCACAAAACACCAGAAACCAGTGGATGAAAGCCACTTAGGTCCATTTTCCACAAACAGATTAAGATGACCAGATTAATTGTTTACATACACGTTGTTCAGATTATTTTAGGCATAAACCACCTCTTTTCATTTGGATTACAAATTCATTCGGCTCAAGCTGAATCAGATCAGAATCTTCCGATTGGGGTGTTTACATTTTTATTCTGAATGGCTGTTTACTCCGATTACTTATGTCCGTGTGAACATGGCTGAAGAGACAAACAACCATTCACTCTCTCACTCAGACCTTGGGATAATTAAAGTTACCAATTAGTCACAGTCATGTTTTTGGTCTGTGGGAGGTAACGAGAGTTACGACTGTAACTGCGGTTCTGTGAATCCCGGATGACTGCCAGAGGCGGTGCTTAAAGCACTGAATGATCACTCTTGCGCATGCTCAGGTCGAGAACCTTATACCAACATGGTCACGTGTGACACTCGGTAAGTCTATAAAGTCACGTGACAATGCCAGTTCAGTCCCTTAATCTTCTCGCGAAACACTATGATTCCGAGGGACCGAATGCTCTGGCAGTCATCCGGGATTCATAGAACCGCAGTTACAGTCATAACTCTCGTTCTATTTCATCCCTACTGACCGCCAGAGGCGGTGCTTAAAGCACTGGATGACAACTACCAACAGAGTCCTGAGGAATCGCACCCCGAAAAGAAACAATCTCAAAACATGGCCACCTCACTGGGATGATGAACGCTGGGACAGGAGCCCCTCCAGCGGGTGAAAGGCAGCCAGGTTTACCCTGTAAAATCTAGCAAAAGTATTCGGAGATGACCAGGAGGCTGCTGCACAGATAGCCTCCAGAGTGACCCCAGTCATAGCGGCCCATGACGCACTAATGCTCCTGGTGGAATGGCATCGTACACCAGCAGGAGGTTGGTGGCCCTGTAGAACGTACGCTTGTTCCACCACCTCCACAATCCAACGCGCGAGACGCTGTTTGGAAAGGGCCTGCCCCTTGCATGGCCCTGCATAGCAAACAAACAGACTATCAGACTGCCGCAGAGAAGCTGTCAGACTGACATATGCTTCCAGTGCCCGAAGTTCCGAACAGGGCAGAGAAGTTCATCAGGCCCACCTGCGTCAAAGCGAGCAAGCTGGAGGGGCACAGAGTGGCTCGCAGATGAGGCCACCTTAGGAAGAAATGTCACGTCAGGTCAAAGAGTAATGCCAGAGCCAGATGGGTTCCAACGGCAACAGGAATCTTGAACAGACAGCGCATGTAGTTCACCCACCCGCTTCGCCGAAGCCATGGCAAAGAGAAAGGCAGTCTTTTTTGACAAATACTCAAGGCTCACCTCCGCCAAGGGCTCAAACGGGGGAGATTGCAGTGCAATGAGGACGAGAGAGAGGTCCCACACAGGTACGACAGGGCGTAAGGGAGGGTGCAGGTGCCGGGCACCCCTCAGAAACAAAGAAACGTCCTTATTACGGCCTATTTTCTCACCATCCACCACCACATGCTAACAAGAGATGGCAGCTACATAAACTTTCAGAGGGGACGGAGACCGACCTTGAGAAAGCAGTGCTTGAAGGAAGGTTAAAATAACTGAAATAGAACAGTGTACAGGATCCACATGTCTAGCACGACACCATCTGTCAAAAACTTTCCACTTATGAGTGTACACCAGTTGTGTCGAAGGGGCCCTGGCATTAGTCATTGTATGCCCGACATCTTTGTCATACTCTGAGAAGGAGATGCCGGGCCTCGTAGCGGCCAAACCCAGAGCTGGAGGCGACTGGGATTGGGATGCAGGATCCGACCCCCAGCTGTGACAGAAGGTCCTTCCTGCGGGGGAGAGGCATTGGACAGCTGCAACAGAGCCTGTGCAGCAGTGGAAACCAGGTTCTCCCCGGCCACAAGGGGGCCACTAGAAGGACCTGATGCCCCTCCTGAAGGACTCTCAGGAGTGTTGGGCCTATCAGGGGAAGCGGCGGGAAAGCATAGAGCAGCGCTTTTGGCCAGTCGTGTGCCAGTGCATCCTGACCCAGAGGACTGGCAGTGTCCGCCAGGGAGAACCAAAGTGGGCAATGTGTTGTCTCTCGGGACGCAAACAGGTCAACGGCTGCTATGCCGTACTTCTCCCAAATGACCCCCACTACCTCCGGGTGGAGCCTCCACTCCCCCGATGGTGGGCGTCCCCGAGACAGAATATCGGCCGGAACATTCCACACCCCTGGAATGTAGGCCGCCCTTAGGCTGGCAAAAAGAGGGGCTGCCCAGGTCAAGAGCTTCTGGGTCAACCTCAGAAATGTTATCGACCGTGTCCCCCCCTGATGGTTGATACGAAAGACCACCGAAGTATTGTCCGACCGCACTAGGACGTGTTTCCCGTGCAGGCCCGGGAGGAAGTGTCGCAACGCCCGCTGCACATTCTCCAACTCCAAGGCATTGATGTGCTGCAGTTTCTCCTGCGGGGACCATGTCCCCCGGGCGATCTGTCGCTGCCACGACGCCTCCCATCCTGTGGTGAATGCATCGGTAGAGACAACCTCTCGACGAGCCAGCAGCGAGCCCAGTGGAACCCCTTTGGTCATAAACCCTGCCTCTCGCCACTGAACCAGTGACGCAAGGCATTGATTGGACACCAGCAGTCTTCTGCGGCGGTGCAGCATACGAGATGGGTGCAGCCTTAGGCTGTTCAGCCACATATGTAGCAGTCGCAGAGACAACAAACCCTGGGGTACCACTGTAGCAGCAGCAGTCAGCTTGCCCAACAGACGAAGGTAAGCAAGAAAGGCGGGTGCACGGCCGGGTAGAAAGGAGGACAGCATTTGAAGAATGTCCTCGACACGCTGAGGCGACGGGTGAGCAGTCATAGTGAGGGAGTCCATCGTGATCCCAAGAAAGGTGACCTGCTGAGATGGAACCAAGTTGCTTTTCTGCCAGTTCACACCAAGACCCAACAAGTCTATGTGTTAGAGTAATGTGTGTGTGTGTCCGCCGCCGCCTGAGCTTCTGTGGGCACACATATTAGCCAATCGTCTAAGTAAGGCAGGATCTTCAACCCCTTGGCCTGCAGAGGAGACAGGGCTGCAGCCATGCACCGAGTGAACACACGCGGGGACAGAGACAGGCCGAATGGAAGAACTCTGAACTGAAAATGCTTGCCCTGAAATGCGAAGCGGAGAAACCGCCAATGGTGTGATGCAATCGGAACATGAAAGTAGGCATCCTTCAAGTCGACCAAGGTGGACCAGTTGCCTGGGGAGATTGTCTGAAGCACATCCCTGACGCTCAACATGTGGAACAGAATAGTCTTTAAAAACACATTGAGACCCCTGAGGTCCAAAATTGGGCGGAGTACACCGGTCTTTTTTGGGACTAAAAATACTTTGTTTAAAAGCCCCCTGGATCCAGCAGGGGGTCGACAGGCAATATAGCGCCCTTGGCCAGAAAGGCATCTATTTCGTGACTCAGAGCCTGAGCCTTTGCCTGGTCGTGAATCACCGTCATCCTGACTTGACCAGGAACAGGAGGGCGGTGACGGAACTGTAGCGTGTAACTCAGAGTCAGTGTAGACACCACCCATGGATCGGGAACAAGAGCGGTCCAGCAACTGAGCTGGTCCGGGGTAAAGTGTCCCACCGCCAGCTCTGAATCATTTCCGAACTCCCTGCCCCTAAGAGGGCGGGAGGGTTGCCGAGTGGACTGCCGGGGTTGAGAAGCCATGCGAGCCTGACCCCTGGAAACGTCCCACTGGCCAGGAGGAGGCCCTGCAGCAGGCCGTGGCTGCCCCACCGAGGGTGTAGACGGGGCTGGATAAGTGCGTGAAAAAGATGCAGAGGCACTCCCAGCAGGGTGCTGCAGTCGCCTGCGATGAAGGCTGGCCAGCTGCTGCCTGGTATGAGAAGCCTGGGCCAACCGCTCCAAGGCTGCAAGCGCAGCAGAGCCAAACAACTCCCCCGGGACCACTGGAAGACTCATCAGGGTCCTTCTACAAGCTTCAGTAAGCAGAGACTGTGCCAGCCAGACCTGGCATCGTGCCCGGACAAGGGTAGACAGGAGATGGCCAATTTCCCTGGACAAAAGAGCAAACCCATGAAGAGATGCGTCCATCAAACCTTGAGTAGGTGCATCAATCGCCAAGCCCTCCAGAGAGGCTGAGAGACCCAGTAATAAATGCGACAATGACTTACCAAGTCGTCCCAATCAAGCCCCCGAGTCATAAGCTCTACAGAGCAGATCATCAGTCACACGACGCTGAGGACGAGGACACCTTGCATTAGCTCTCAGAACCTCATCTGGAGCCACAATGAGGGATGCTATGGTAGGTTCGACAGAAGGCATATGACCCATGCCAAACATGGGCGCATCCTGCATGCCCAGAGCCCTGCCATCAGAGGTCGGTCTTGAAAAGGCCTTAGTATCTGCCCAACAGGCATGAACCTCCTTCACATAGTCGGCAGATGGGGGAACCATAAAGGACAACCTAGTAGTAGGACGCCGAAAGAAAGCACTGGAAGCATCAGGCTGGCTCTGTGGAGCATCCAGCTGCAGCCGAGCAAGCGCAGTTCTCAAAGCGCCCACTATCGAATCATCCTCTTCCGACTGAGAGCAGGAAGAGAGACGCGAACTGGCTGTTGACATGTGCGAGCCAGATTCAAACGGATCTTGAAAATCAGTGCCAGACGCTGCCAGGGATACAGCATCATCGTCTAAAACGGAGAGCCCTGAACCCATGCTCCGCCCTGGGTCCGGGTCTCTAGTCAGACCAGAGCCACCACCGTCTCTAAGGGACTCGAGTAGTGCTTTCATCTGCTCCAACTCGGAAGTAAGATGGGCCACCTCCCCAGGTAGGCCTTCTGAATCCCTGGAGCTCTTCTTAGTCCTCTTAGGATGCTGCATAGCCTCAAGAGCCATACGCTTCACAGGCCGGCTGGCACCTTGAAGGTCAGCCAAACGAGCGATACGCAGGGACAAGGGCAGAACAGAAAAATTAGGGCAGGCCGCATCAGTCAAGGTCTCCTTTAGGTGATCTAGGCCCAAACAAGAAGGACACAGATCATGCCCATCCTCCAATTGGAGAGGGGCCAAACAGACTCTGCAGCCCGGCATGTCCAGCATCTTACGCTGACGAGACAAGGTCAGGTCGAGCTGAAATCGCCACTCTTGACACTTAGCCTAATGGACTAGGGACCCAGTCGAGCAGAAAACGCCACCAAGGGTTCCAAGTGGGAAAAAAAGAAAGCTGCAAGGCGCACTACAATCACCGTAGCACGGTTGCAATATCATATGAGGCAAGCCGAACACGGCTGCACAACGTAAACAATAAGCAAGCCCGAAAACCGCTGCAATTAGACAAAATATAGGCGAGCCGAACACGGCTGCACAACGTTAACAAAAAAACAAGCCCGAAAACGGCTGCAGACAAGCAAACGGTGGCACAATATAAAGAAAAAGCAATCCCGAAATAGGATGCAATACAATCAACTAAAGGCAATCCGAACACGGCTGCCACAATACAAGCCGATACGGCTAATTAACAACCTGTCGGAATTGGCTAACGCCGTACCACCGGCAACAGAAAAATCGACGTGGAAAGCGGACGCCGCCACTCCCTTCGACTAAAAGAGAAGATAACTTACCAATCGAAGAACAAAATTGTAACAATGAAGAGCTTGCGCAGCCTCTAGAGGGCGAGAAAATCCTCGCAGCTCTGACCGTAGTCTCGAGGCTACCAGCGACAAGCAACAATCAAGTCTTACCATCTACAGTGGTTTGCAAAAGTATTCATACCCCTTGAACTTTTCCATATTTTGTCACATTACAACAACAAACATAAATATATTTCACTGGAATTTAATGTGAAAGACCAACACAAAGTGGTATACAATTGTGAAGTGG